CTCTTGGTGTAAATTTCATTTCCAATAAAATTTTCTATCATTTCTCAAATTTCTTACGAAATATTAAATTTTTACAACTTTTACATTATCGTTTGGACCGAATGAAATGTACTTACTAATTTTCCACCAACAGAGAAATTTTATTAAATCAATAGTCAAAATCTATGAATCATGGTCTTATGTGTGTGTGTGGGGGTGTTTTTTTTTTTTTGCACATCATTATCTTAAGTTCACATTAATAAACCTTTTATCTTAAGATGTCCTAAATCATAAGTGCCATATGATGCACATGGCTTTCTTCCAAAGACCAACGACATTATCAAGATAATAGGCTTAAACACCAAATTAGAGTAGGTTCCAAAATATTCCATAGGAAAATTAAATTTCAGATATTATCAAGTAATCATAGTCTAAATGATTTCAAACAAACATAGGCCAGTAGATTAGCAGCTTTCTGATAGGAAATGCTTGTAGAAAATTATAAAAAAAAAACACTTTGCTAAAATTTGAATTTTAGCAATTCTTAAAATAATAATTAAGAAGAATTTGGTGTAATGACAATAGAGAAACTTTTAATTAATAGTAGGTGGAAGAAAACAAACAAGATATAATGGATCATTAATTTGAGAGGAATATTCGGCTCTCCCAATCCCTAGCTGCCGGCTAGAGCCCAATCAACCTAAGAAACAACTCAATTTAGCAAAACAAAAGATAATCCTAACCCTAGGGAGAATAAGTTACTTAAAGAAAATAATAATCATGTAAATCCCTAAACAACCCCTCCTCTAATCCCTGTTGGATCCCACCTGGAGATAGAGTGGGAGCCCCCCTGGGCAAAAATCCTTGTTCTGCCTTCTATACACACGGGACAATCCCATGTGTTGGACCGGTCTATCAAAAGCCCCCTCTCAAACCACCTTGTTCTCAAGGTGGAAGGATGAAAATTGATGCTTCACTCTCTCATATGACTCGTATGTGGCGTCATAGTCGAGTAGGTTCTTCTACTTTATCAGCAATTCCCTGAGCCCACCCTCTCCCTGCCGTACCCCTTTCAGCTCTAGTGGTTCTAACACCACCTTCAAATCCTCTATCAGTGTCAAGGGTAACTCTAAACTAAATGTATGGTACCCAATAACTCTTCTTAACTATGACACGTGAAATACTAGGTGTATGGTAGCAGTTGGGGGTAACCTTAAACGATAAGCCACTACGCCAATCCTCTCCATTATCTCATAAGGGTCAAAGTACCTCAAAGCCAACTTCTCATTCCTCCTGTTATCTATTGTCCTTTGTCTGTAGGGATAAAGCTTCAAGTATACTTTATCTCATATCTTATATCTCAAACTGGATGTCATTCCTATGTCCATTCCACTGCTTCTTCATGATCTGTTGAGCCCTCAGCAGGTGCCTTTTCAATTCATCCAACACCCTAGCCCTCTCCTCCAAGTACTGCTCCACTGAAGAAACTGGTGTGCTAGTCTGCCTAAAGTGTACTAAGTGAGGTGGGTCCTTGCCATACAATACTTTGAAAGGAGCCACCGTGGAAGTCGAATGATACGTAGTGTTGTATCATTACTCTGCTCATGCTAGCCACTTGGCCCACAACCGAGGTGTCTCTGAAGAAAAACATTGCAGGTATGTCTCTAGGATCCTATTTACCACCTCCATCTATTTGTTTGTCTAAGGGTGGTAAGCGTTGCTACTCTTCAGCATTGTCCCCTACAGGCTGCAGCCTAAACAGCTCCCTCAAAAAATGATTGAAAAACACCTTATCTCTATCGAGCATTATAGACTCCAATATCCCATGCAGTCTGACCACTTCTCTGATGAATGTCGTTGCCTCTGTCACTATCATATAAGGATGCCATTGGGGAATGAAATGAGCATACTTGTTCAACATGTCAACCACCACAAAAATCATTATAAATCTCTCAGATCGGGGTAACACCTATAAAATCCATGGTGACCTCCCACACTATGTCTGAAAGATTTAGGGATTGAAATAATCCCCCTAGACCATAGCCATATATTTGTTTATCTGACATATCTCACATCTAGCCACCATCGCCTATATATCCTTGTGCATCATCTTCCAATACAACTCTATTGTCAATCTCCTATATGTCTTATACACACCCAAATGGCCCCCAACAGGACTCACATAGAACTCCTGCAGCAGGTGTGGAATATGGACCAAGCTTCGTGGCAACACAAACCTCCCCTGGTATAACATTCTCTCCCCCTCTAGAGAATAGCCTGGGTGGCTACTCTCATCCCTCAGTAGATCTGCTCTAATCCTACTCATCTCCTCATCCTTCACACTCTCCTCCTTAATAGCCCCCCAGACCAGCATCAGTGGTATCTAAATAGCTAATTCCGAGAGCTCCCCCACGCATCAGAACAAGGCATCAGCAGCCTTGTTCTCTAATCCTGGCCTATAGAAAATCTCAAAATTACAGCCCAATAACTTTGATAGTCACCTCTAATGCTCCTCAATCACCATCATCTGTTTCAAGCTCCTTTGGTCCATTCTAACAATGAAATATTAGCCCAACAAGTAAGACCGCCACTTCTAAATAGCTAATACAATGGTCATCAGCTCCCTCTCATAGATTGACTTCAACCTAGCTCCGGCTGTCAACACCTGACTGAAGTAGGCTATGGGCCTGTGATTCTACATGAGCACTGCTCCCAATCCATAGTCTGATGCATCAATCTTTACCACAAAAATCTGGTTGAAATCTGGTAGGACCAAGATCGGTATTGTGGTCATTGCCTTGTTCAATCTCTCTAAGGCCTAGGTAGATGCCTCTCCCCATAGAAAATAATCATTCTTCAGCTAAACTGTCAATGGCCAAGCTATGGTGTTGTATCCACTCATAAATCTCCTGTAGTACCCGGTAGACCCTAGGAACCCTCTCAGCTCCCTCAGATTCCTAGGCAAAGGCCATTTCAGTATGCCTCAATCTTGGCCTGATCAGCGGCCACCCCCTCTTGAGATATCACATGCCCCAAGTACTCCACACTGGCCTATGCAAAATAATGCTTTTTCATCTTAGCCCTCAGCTGATGCTCCTATAATACCTCTAAGACTACCCTCAAGTGCTCCAAATTCTCATCTGACCTGTTGTATACCAGGATGTCATCAAAAACATCATGACAAATTTCCTGAGGTATGGTCTGAACATCATGTTCATGAGAGACTGGAATGTAACGGGTGGCGTTGGTGAGGCCAAATGGCATTACCAAAAACTCATAGTGTCCCTCATGTGTCCTAAATGCCATCTTCGGGACATCCTCCTCCCTCATTCCGATCTGATGGTACCCAAACTTTAGGTCCATCTTCGTGACACCACAGCTCCACACAACTCATCCAACAACTCATCTATCACTGGAATAGGAAACTTGTCTAGCACAGTTCCTTATTCAGGGCCTAGTAGTCCACACAAAATCGCCAGCTTCCATCCTTATTTTGAACTAGTAGAATTGGGCTAGAGAAAGGGCTCACGCTAGGTTTGATGATCCCAACCTCCAACATCTCTTGGATCAACCTTATAATCTCATCCTTTTGGATTTGACCCCCTTCCTCAGCATGATGGCATGCTCCTGTCCCCTCTGTGATGGCAATCCTTGAAGTGGGTGAAAAATCTCACATAATTGTTGTATAACTAGATGTACTAAAAGAGGGATGTCCCCTCCTTCCTCTTCTCTAATCCCTTGTCTGTTATTTCTCCTCTCACCTTCATAGTGTAATTCAGAGTGAATCCCACCATCGAGTTCAGGGATACCTCAGCCATGTCTTAGTCAGCTTTTCCTCCATCGATGCCTCATTCCAACCTCCCTCCTCAGCTTCCTTGTCATCACACACAATGAGAACCTGAAGAGCTCGATCCTTATACATATGCCCCAGTGTGTGTGCTTCTAAGCGCATCTGAAATATAACCCATTTTCCCTCTTATCTTGCACCTCTACCTCTATGATTCGCCCAACCCACCGCGGGGCAAACTCCACCGCTCTTCTCCCTATAAGCTTCTCTATGGAAGAATATTGTTTGGGCTTTGTGAGCTAAAGTTGTAAGTATACTCTGATAGGCCCCTCCCTTGGTGTTGCTTATGATGGCATTCTCCCTCTTGTATTTTAAATAATAATTTAATTATTAGGAATATATTAATATGAATTTAAAAAAAAATATTTAAGATAATGTTAAATTAAATCATAATTGAATATTAAAAAATAATGGTTTTTAAAATTATTTGAAATATATAATTGATTTTAAAATAATTTTAATTTTAAATGGAAGTAAATTAAATTTTGAAACTTTTTATACTGTATATGTATTTTTTGTATTTAAAAAAAATTAATTATTTTTTAAAGTATTTTGAATTAAAAAATATATTTAAAATAAATTTAAAACTGATTTAAATAAATAAATGATGACGACGACTCGGGATGACACGCAGAAGGATGGGATGCTCTCCTTTAACCACGGGTAATGATTGGGCAGTGGCGCATTGATTGTGCCACTGGCAATCATTGCTAAGTCAAAACCGCAAATGAGATTTTAATTTAATCCTAGTTAGCAAATCGCACCTGCCATCGGATCTCAACGGTTTGAGATTAAGGGCTCTGATCTCGCCGGACGGAGAGCAGAGCTGGGGTATCGTACTCCGTGATCAATCTGAACCACGTAACAATAAGATCTTGACCGTTGATCGTAAAATCAACGGCCCTGATTTCATCCAATTGCATGCATGCGTAACCTGAAACCCTAAAATAAAAAGGTTTCATTCTCGCAAATGGCCCAATGGATTTTGATGAAATTTTAAACCAAGGTTCTACGAATGAACATAAATTTAGGAGAGGTATTTTTGCAGTTTGAAAAGCGCTTTTGACAAAGTTATTTAACCCTACGTGTAGTGACCTAGGGCTAACATTTTTGGAAAATCTCACCATTGGATCTTTAAATTTTTAGTACGATTGAGCTTGTAGATTGTCCATGAATGTTTATCTTGTTGAACTTGAGGCTTGGCAAGCTACAGATTGAGCTGAGGAAGCCTTGGAAGGTTTTGGACTTTGGTTCATGGAGATCTCGCCATCGGCAGGGTCTTGACAGTGGAGTTGGCTTGGAAAGGTGGGAAGAAGGTATTTGAGCTCACACACACAAAAACTCAGGTTAGGGAAGCTTGGGAAGAGAGAAAAAGGAAAAGTACCCAATATGGAACCTTAATAGCCCTATTTATAATCCTAGCTGCATGATGAACCACTAGGATGCATCCTAAGGCTAATTAGGAGGGAATTAATCCCCCTTGGTCGTGGTTTTGGCCAAGGGATGATTTGGAAAGCTTTAAATGTATTAAAGGAGGATATTTTGACCTAAATATGTCAAATTTGACCAAATAAGGCTTGGTTTTACCAAGCCAAGTGTCAAGTGTTGACTTAGTCTACATGGTAAAACAAGTCCAAAGGGGTGAGGGGTTGAGCAAGAGAATGAGTTGGAATGGATCAAAACTCAAATAAAGGCCATTTGGATTATTTGGGTCAACCTAGGTTGACCCAGGGCCTAGGTCTGGGCTCCACAAACTAGGTTTGACCCACTGAACCCATTGGAAGATGTCTTGGGGCCTGGCTTGGTTAACTTGACCAAGTCAAACCTCTTGACTTAAGGTTTAGGTTAAAACAAGGTCAACAATATACTTCAACCCAAGTCTATAAATAAGATTTAGAGGGTGAGTTGTGGGCATTTTCAATCATTTTTTCAAGTATTACATATTTTAGCAATTCATAAAAAGCCTAGAGCTTATCTCTCGATGCTCTTTCTCTCCCCTTTTCTCACTTATTTCTTAATCATTTTTTTTTGTGAAGTTTTGGCACTACACAGAAATTTTAACCTAATGTACTCTAAATTATGATGAGATTGGCTAGAAGACTTAATAGCTAAGCTATGAAATTATAGGATGATTAGTGTAGATCAATTGAAATGGAAAACCCAATTTTATTTACTAATAGGTGGCTAAATCCAATAGAAGAAATACTCACTAGAATTATCCATGGAGCTTTGAAGTTTGTTTTAGGAACCATTTTGCAAGTGGTGTATCTCTATATTCCATCATTCACTAACAACTATAAAGTCAAAATGCTCTAAATTTAACTCCAATAACTAAGAAGCTTATTTTTCAAGAAGTCGTGGAAGAATAATGCCACCATAAAGGACTAGAAGGCATCGACCATAAAAAATCTGATGTATTAAAACTTGGTTGATTAGGTTTAATCTAGTATGAATTTTGACCTATTTTAATTTCATTATGAAATTTTAGCTTATTTCAAGTCTTACTTGAATCCAAATGAATTTAGAGAGGAAATGGATAAAAGGGAAAGATATGTGGTCAAGAGCTCCAGGGAGCATTGCAACACTAGTAATGGCGATGTTGTGGCTCTTCCCTATCTGTATTTGGAAGGATTTGAGGGAGTGTTGTGGCATTGGAAAGAAGTGTTGTGGCACAAAGCTCTTTTTTGGAGTCTAGCTTAATCTAGAATATTCTAGCCAAGTGATATTGCACTTAACCTAGCCTTAAGCTTGCTAGAGAAGGAAGAGTAGAAGAGGATAGAGAAAGAGAAGAAGAAGGATTCAGAGGCCAAAGAGCAACATTTGTTCATTAAGTCTATCAAGATAATTATTTTACTCAAGGTAGGCTTCCAATACCTTATTTCAAATTTCAATTCTGATATTTTTGTGAAAAGTTATAAATTAAAATGTGTTTTTAATTAATATTATAAATCATTCATCGTATAATTTATACTATAAAATGCTTAATATTGATCTTTTTAATTATAACATCAATTGGTTTTGTTTATGCAAAAATTTGAATGTTTTCTATTAAAATTGATAATTCTAGCATTAGTTATAATTTATCAAAAGTCCTAAAATGATATTTTAATGATCCTCTATAAATGGTTTCTCAAATGCTAAATATTTTAAAAGTTGGAAAACTCATACATGCATTATCCCCTGAGGTGTGGCACGCATGTGTTCCTATTCATTGTCAACACTATGAAATTCTATTAATTATGTTTATCTCTGCATATGCATTCATATTCATATGGTGGAAGTTTTGATGTGGGAGAGTATTAAAGTGAACAAAATTTTTTTTATATGATCCTAACTTTCTTATAATGTTCTGCTTCTAATTTTGGCACTATATGTCATGAACATGGGAGTTGTTTTATGGCCCCGTCTACTTATGCAAGTGTGGGAGATTCAAGGAAGGCATACGTGTAAGTGGAATTATAAGGGGATCTGAGATGGTCTCCTTTACCTATTGGAAGTTGACTATGTGAGACATAAGTGGAAGTGGAGTTATATGCAAACAATGAGACATGCAAATCAAAATTCATGTAATTACATGTTCTATTAAATAAAATAAGTTGAATATTAAGAATATTTTTGTAAATAAAATGAATTTAAATATAAAAAAAGATATTATGCTGTTAAGTGAACTATGTTATTCTTGTACAAGTATACTCCAAGATTTCTATGAAAATATAGGTGGAAGTACATGTTATATTCTGGTAGCCAATACATTTTTGTATCCATGTGAAAGTACAAGAAAGGTATATATATAATTATATATATAGGGGAAAAAATAAGTTTTAACGAGTTCCTTGAAAAGGATTGTTATTTCCATGTTATTTTACTTTAATGTTTAAATCTTTATTTATAAATTACAAATATGGGTATTGTCTTCAATAATATGAATTAGGTTTGCCTACTGGGTTAATAAATTATCATTACATTGGATTATATATTTCAGGAAAAGGAAACAACCCAACATTATAGAGGTTGAAAGGAGCGGATCTGCTAGAAGTTTTCTATTAAGGTATTTTGTAATCAAATTCTTATATTTTGTTGTATAAAATTAGTTTATTCTAGATCATTTATACATGATTTATTTTAAAATGACAATTTAGATGGTTTTTATTTTGGAATACTTTGTTAACTTTGGTATGTTTTGTATTATGGCTGAGAAAACTAGTTTTAGGAATTCAATTCTTGCATTGTATCATGGGGCATGATAGCATGGTATTAGAGAAATGGTTTGAAATAATTAGATCATAAATAGATCCATAAAAAAATGATTTATAGATATAGGGAGGAGTTGGTGTTAGTTTTGTTTTATTTTTCATCTGTTTGGTAGAAGATGCAAGAGTCATTCATGAGGCTAGTCTAAGGGAGCAAGATGGTGATGCAATATGAGGTTGAGTTTATGTCCTTCATTTAATATGCTCTCCAACAAGTTAGTTCTCTTAAGGAGTAGTATTACCAATTTCTAAGTGGTTTGAGAGAAAATCTAGGCACCCCTTAGTTCCATTCCATATTTAAAATTTATACGATCTTGTAGAGAGTGTGGGATTGTTGGAAAATAATATGTGTACTCAATACTCAATAGAGGTGGGATACTAGTAGAAAATGTTTTGGTGAGTAGTAGTGGACTTAGTTGGAAGAAGTTTAGATTTATGGATAGTGAGCATCAGAGGGAAGCCTTGCAATATCAAAGAGTTCAGGTGGATTAGTATCTGTTAGTAGTGTTTTAGCCTATGGATTTTGTGGAAAGAGGTAAAAGGGATGTTATATGTTCATGGGGTAGTGTTTTAGGAATGGTCATTCTACTCATAAGAAGCCAGAGCTAGAGGAAGCCAGTAGTAGCCCACTCCCAAACTGTTAGTGAAGGATCCTTGACCGGTAGTGGTAGTAGGTTTGGAGGCACGCAATTTGGTGGATCAGTTGAAAGAGATTAGAGGGAATCTATTATAGTGGCCAATGCAGCTCCAATACAACCTAGGGTATACCATTAACCCAGCATGAGGTGAAGGCGGTGTGAAAGGTGGTGATCAATATGAATTTTATTTTTGTGTTATGCCATAATATTTTATTTGATTATGGAGCAAGCCATTCCTTTCGGTTTGAATATGTGTTGAATGATTTGGGTCTTGTTTCATATTTATTATCATCTATTTTATCTTTTTTCTTCCTACTAAATACTTTCTAGTTTGGTAGTCATGTTTGTAGATGTGAGATTAAAATTACAAATTAGAAGTTTGAATTAGATTTGATTATGTTGCCCTTAAAAGAGTTGGATATGATTGTGATTATGGACAGGTTGAGTAGATACAAAGCTTAAATTGAGTGTAGTAAGAGGGTAATTTTGCGTAACAAAGTAGAAATATTTCATTGCTAAGGTCATAGAGGTGTTTTATCTTCACTAATATTTGCATTACAAGTTGAGAAGTCATGGAGCAAGGGGAGCTATATATTCCTAGATTATGTAATAGATCTGAATAAATATGTTAGGGCTATAGAGGATGTTTCAGTAGTAAGAGAGTTTCCTAATGTCTTTCCAAAATAGCCAGCAAGTCTACCCCTAGAAAGAGAAGTAGAATTATGTATTGATGTAGTGTTAGGTACATCCTTAATAGCAAAGTCCCCTTATAAAATGGCTCTAAGAAAATTGTAAGATTTCAAAGTGCAATTACATAAACTTTTAGATAAAGGTTTTATCTAGCCAAGTGGATCTTTGTGGGGATCTCCTGTATTATTTGTGAAGAAGGATGGATCCTTGTGCATTTTTATTGATTATGAGTAGTTAAACAAGGTGAATATGAAGAATAAGTATCCATTTCCCAAAATTAATGATTTGTTTGACCAATTAGAAGGTACAGCTGTATTCTCTAGGATTGAATGGAGATTGGGGTACCATCAATTGAGGGTGAAAGTTAGGGATGTGGTGAAAACTATCTTTAGCACTAGGTATGGGAAGTATGAGTTTCTGGTTATACTATTTAGAGTGATGAATGGGTAGTATTTATGAATATGATGAATAAGATATTAAAAGAGTATTTAGTTCAATTTATCATTATATTTATTGATGACAATCTGATAAATTCAAGAATGAAATATGATCATAGAAGGCATTTGAGATTAACTCTAGAGACCTTAAGGAAGAACAAAATATATGTGAAGTTTTTCAAATGTGAATTATGTTTAAAATCTGTAGCATTTTTGGGGCATGTGATAATCAAGGAAGCAATTTTTGTGGTCTTCATAAGATATAAGTTGTAGTTTGTCGGCTGAGGTCGACTTCAATGAT